AAGAGAAGGGGCCATCGAAAAATGCTGCAAAAAAGCTTAAAATTCAAAGGCCGCTATATTGAATACCCTGATACCGACCTTTAAAAACTAAAAGATTAGATAGTCTAATAGTCTGAAACTTGTTAAAACTATGTATTAAGGTGTTATATACCATCATAAAAAGTTTTGCCAAGTTTAGACTTATTTTCAGGGCTTTTCCACAGTCCAAACACTAAAATATGAGATCATATAAAATAATAGAACAATGTCTACTAATTAAAGAATAATTATAACAAATAATTATTAATAATAGACGTTTTTTTTACTAGATAAAATGTAGTCATAAATTCTGAATGGCAAACATTTTAATGAGGGGCCTAAAAAAAAAAAAAAACAAGCACTCTGGGAAAATGTAGCAAACTGCGCATTTTTGGGGGGCCCAACCTCGCTCCATATTCGATTGGGTCATCGCTCACGGCTCGTTAATTTGGCCAGCAGCTAGCTAAAAAAAAAAAAAAATAAATTAAAATGGGAAACTGATACAGGAAATGCAGCCGAATAACCCCGATCTGATATCTGGGCCTTGTGTTAACTGATAACTCTGCCTAAAACTGAATACAACAAAATATATATTCGTGCGTCGTTCGCGCAGCTGTGGCCGAGCTCTCTGCCAGAGCTCTGATTAATTGTGGGTCAAACACAGATGCATATATATGTAGATATCTCCGCCGATCTACATGCATATGGTATGCGTCCACTGGAGCGTTAAATTGCCACGGTAGCCGGGTCGGCCGCCTACCCATCACAGCCGTGAAACTAAGCCACTAAACCACCAAAAAGCCAAAAAACCAAACATCCAAAAAGCACCAAACCCACCATCCATCGATCCATTCGTCTATGGACACTGGGAAAAATTTTGAATATTTTTTTGTTTATATAATGTATATTTTATAGGATTTTCTAACTGATATAAGATCTCTGATTTTCTGGAAAACTTTGAAAATTTATTAGGTTTCTAAATTAGTTTTGAGATTTTTTTTTTGGAATTGTGCTTAATATTTTCTACATAATATTTCCCTTTATATATATTTTTATTATATATTTTTATTATATATTTTTTGTATTATAATTTTTTTTATTATATATTTTTTTATTATATATTTTTTTTATTATATATTTTTTTATCATATATTTTTTTATTTTATATTTTTTTTATTATATATTTTTTTAATTTTTGCACAGCTAGAAAAACTTGTTTAATTTCTATATTATTGCTTATGCAATTTTTTTCAGTGCACCTCTGTGTGCATCCCTCCTCATTTTTTATTTTATTTTTTTGGTGGACGTAACCCAAGTAGCACAAATTGGCCCGCGGCTTTGCAGCTTATCGCATTTTGTACGAGTATTTTGTCGTTTTGTTGTTGTTATTATTGGGAAAAAAGCGGCCCAGCAGCGGTTTCATTTCCATTTTCCCCCCGCAACTCTGCACAGAGCACATTTCCCAAACCATTTCCATTATGAGAATTGATGGCAAGGTCAAGCGGTTGGATCAGCATTCGGAAATTTGTCTCTGGCAGAAGGCGCGCATGCGCAGCTTCGGGCCTAACTTTAATCTCCACAGTAATAACTTCCTAAAGGAAACCAGTATTGTTATTTTAAATTTAAAATAAAAATTATGAAGTGTTAAATATGTAATTCATTTTGTTATTAAAAAATTAGAATGACAATCTGAAGTTCTACATATCGAGGTTTGACTGTTAGCCCCCTTATGACTTTTGGGCTGCTCCGCTCATAAATTGTTCGTAAACAAATTGTAGTTTGTAGTTGCCCGACGACTGGAAAAAGGGGAATTGGAAATGGGGAAAAGGGAAGGAGAAAGGAGGCAGGAGGATGCTTGATTAATTCGATAAACTGAACAATAAATATCGCTGGCCTTTTAATGGAAGCAATCCAATTAATTTCTGAGATATATTGAAGGAGTGTGATTCTGGCTATCGATGATAATATCTTCGGTCTATATTAATATATTAATAAAGCTTTAAATATTAATAAGACTAAATGGAGAAGTAAGAGATGTTATATGAGTGACCTTGCTCCTCCGAAAGTGAACTAAAAAGTGAACACTCCAAGGAAAACACTACCAAAGTGAACACTTCAAATGGAAGTCTCCTAAAGGAACTCTCCAATACATGAACAGTTCCAAATAAGGATGGCAATGAAGACGCCGATAAGGATCGTATAAACATATATACATTTACGTATGAACATTGAGATATTTGCTTGCACAATGTCCCTAATATCTCCTTCTTTATACGGGCGTTGGTCTGTGGTACATTTATGGCACACATTTATGGCAATGACATGGCGACAATAAAAGCGTTAACACGCCTATGCCCCAAAAGAGCGAGATAGATGCAGGAGATAGAGATAGAGATAGAGATATAGTACTATATAGAGGTAGATGGAAATGGAGGTCGCGAGATAGAGGGGACATTGGCATATTTAAACATAATTTCGTTTTTTATTATCCTTTCATGACAAAGACGAAGCCGGCACCGTAAACAAATACACGCAAGGAGAAGTGAAGCCGATGATGAAGCAGAGTAGGAATAATAGCGGTCGGTAAGTGGAAGGCAACTGAAGAAGAAGAGCCAACAAGGAGGAGCAGGAGAATCCAGAATCAAGGTGGTAGAAGAAGGGAAGGTGTGTGTGTGTGCGGGGGAAAAGCCGGCATAGGTAAACAAAACAGTTTGGCTGGCAGGTAAATTACAAACAGCAACAGATGAAGAGGAAGAAGAAAAGTCCAAAAACAGTGAGAAAAATTAAGGGTCTTAATAAATATTTTTATTTGGTTAAATATTTATTATTATAATTTTTTTTTTAATTTTAAATTCTTTCAAAATAAAATTAAAAAATATACAAATTTAATTATTTAAAAATAAAAATACAATATATTAAATTAAATCAAGAGTAAAACTCCAAATCTTATTCTCTCAGTGCAAGCAAAAGAGTAGAGCAAAAGGATCAAGAGAAATCCGAATTGTGGTGGGAGTGGAGAGGATCAAGAAGAGTCCAAGAGAAACGTGCGCATAAATAAACAGACTCTGCTGCTGGCGTTGCAAGCGGGATGGCAGGATTGGGGTCTTCTCCTGCCCCACCTCCCTCCTCCTCCAATTCTTCTTCTTCTTCATAATTTAGTGTTGTTTTTGTCTGGCTTTGAATTTGGATTTGAAATAAATTGTGCAAGGGACAAGCATAAGCATGCCGCTGGCTGACATGAGCGGCCACACACAGCGAGCAGTTCCTTCCAAAGAGAGAGGGGGCACTGGAACGCTTAGGCGGGGGCGTGCCCCCAAAATAAGGGAGTGTGAGAGTGACAGAGAGAGAGAGAGATAAAAAGGGGAGCTGATAAGATAACCCAACTGACTCACATTTTAACATAACTTTATTTTTGGGTTACAGTGGGCACTGATACAGTGGGAATTTTGAATAAAATATATATAAATAATAAATATTAAAGGCTTTAAATTAAACTATTTGATATTTCATTAAATTAATAAAATAAAATAAATAAATTTATGTATAATATAATTAAATTAAATATAAAATAATTTATTTTAGACATATAATAAAATCATTACAGAAAGCTAACTTGGGGAATTACTTATTTTTAACTTATTAATTTTCTTTAACCAGAAATTCTTTTAATTTGAATTTTTTATTGATTAAAATTTTCAACCTACGTTAGCACTAAAAACCCTATAAACCCTTGTTAGCACACGATAATTACCTAGAGATTAACCTATAAGTAAAAACACTTAGCTTAAAGTAGCCAGTAACTTTTTTATCGGTTGCACAATTTTTATTATTATTATTATAGTTGATAAGTTATCGATGGACCTCCAAGACGTAACACATAGAACTCTCCCAAAGAGAGCGAATACTTCAAGAAAGGGGAGTATGAGAGGCGACAGCCTTCCACTGAAAAAATGCGGGCTGTAAAGTCGTATAAATTTTAATTATGTCACCATAAACCAAAATGAAAACGACACAACCCCCATCCCACCCTGCGAAAAACAGAAATATAAACAGCAATAAAAACAATGAGAAACAGCCAACAAATTCTGCGTGCGTTGCGTTTAATGTTTTTCTTTTCTTCTCTTTAGTACATTTTATTTTATTATTACTATTTTTTTTTTTTTTTTTTTTTTTTGTTGAGCTTGCTTTGCTTTTCGGTGGTGTGCGCATAAAATTTGCATAAATTACATGCGACGACACTGACAAGTAAATTCACTTTGAAGGCGGGCCCCGCCACGGTCCCCTCTGTGTTATTGCTTTATTTTTGTCACATTTGGCGGCTCTGGTAGTGCGAGTGCGGTTTTAGGCCATTATGTTAATGAGTTTTAATTGAAGACTCTGGCAATATGAGCATTTTATTTACGGCCTCACCCCGTCGCGGAGTTTTTCGGAAAATTTTCAGTTTAATTTTTGGCGGAGGGTGGTAAATTATATATTTAATGCGATGTTTGATCATCAGCAACATGTTGTTGTTGCGGGTCTTAAATTTCCATATTGAGTGACCGTCACACACATATTTGCTGATGTTTCCATATTGTATGAGAAAATCAACTCGGAACTCTCTGAATGGAAATTGTTTATTTGGGACTATCATTTTATGCCACCATAGGGACCACTTACACCAAAGGGAAAAATCCCATATTTTATGGGTGGTATTATAAAGGTTTATAAACACTCGATTTTGAGAGCTGATTCTTGCTTTTTTTTTATGGAATTTTATCCTATAAGATTTGGGTTTAAAATAAATTGTTGAACTGAAGAAAGTATTTGTTGAATTGTGGAAATTTTTAACAATAATTTATTTAAATTTTTTAAATATTCAATAAGTTTGGTAGCATTTCAAAATGAATATAAGATTTAGTGAGCAATTTGTCGAATTTTCAACAACAGTTTTCAACAACATTTAAAAAGGTTCAAGAACACTGCGCAAATAGGTATTGGAATTTAAATTCTTAAACTTTCTACAACATTTAATATTCCCAAACAACATTCCTGAATTTTCCAATTTTCTTTTGAATCGGATTTTTAATACTAGGATTAAAACATTTTTGAAAACAATTACCACTACTGAAAGTAGTTGGCGAAGGCCCGTCGCAACTTGCGAAAAAAGCTCATCTTGCCATGAAGACTCCCAACAATGGCATTCTCCGAGCTTACCTCCAGTCGCCCCAGATGCCAGTGGAGTGGCATTTTATTGGCCACAAATCTCTTGGCCAATAGGCAACCCCGTTCCAGGTGCTCTGGAGAGGTGAAGCGTAACTCCAGGCCGCCGGGTACCTGGCGGAAATCGGATAGTGAACAGTAGAATGAAAAGATAACCAACAGGTGGTCATCCTCGCCATCCTGGAAACCGTGCAGGCTCATCCACACTTCCTCTTCCAGTGGCTCCGTTATCTGGGCCTGTTCCACATCCACATCAACCGCATCCAGATTCTCGGTGGCTTCCGGTTGCTGTTCATCGGTGCTGCTTTCGTTAATGAACGATCCTTCCAAGGACACCGACATTGAGTTGGAGTGTCTAAGTTGGAGTTTTTTTAAATGAAGATATTGTGTTGAAGTTATACCTTTCACTGGGTTTCAGGACAGATTTTTCTGTGAAATCTAGTTGAATCTTTTTAAAACAATTTCAGCGTTGAATTTCCTATATTTACTTCATACTTTGCAGACGCATAAACCCAACATTATCGCGCCTATCAATGCCAAATTTGATTAAATTTTCACACTTTAAAAATTCTCTTATCAAAAATGCAAAAAAAAAAAAATGGGAAAAAACCAACAGGGAGACCCAAACAAATAAGCAAAACGAACTCGGAGAGTATAGGCAGCTGTTCAAACAAATGAGAACTACCTAAAATATTTATTTATCTGGATATATATTTTCCCAAATAATCTGCGGCTTAATACACCCCAAATAACTATTTATTGTTATTTTATTGTATTATATATAATCTCATCAGATTAATTTGAATTTTAGTTATTATACAGGTATGACACTGGGAAATATTGTAATTTTCCACATTTACAAAATAAAAATAAAGTAAAAGTAAAAATGATTACAAGTAGAGCAACAGAAACACTCTTTATTTATATATTTTAAAAAATATAAATTTTTAAATCATATTTTTTATGTTTATCTCTTCCATTATGCTGTTATGACACTAGAATCTACAAAGTTATTGTTATTAAAATATGTTTTAAAGAAAAAACCTTTATTTTTATATGAAAATTTACAACACAAAATCTATTGTAAGATATAAAAGCAACATATGTTCATTAGATAATATCTGCTATCTAATAGATATAGCTTCCTGGTTTATATTTGTTGCCTCTCCCCCTTCCACTTATGCTTGCCCCAACCCCTGACTTTGGAAGTGGGTCATGCCTTTTGGGGGCTATGCGGCAAAGCTTCTTTCCGATAGCCGCTATCAGCTATTAGTAGAGGGCTGATTTTTTTTTTTTTTGGTAGCAAGCCCGATCGAAAATCGAAGAAACAAATCGAAAATTGTAAGTGGGCCGGCGGGAATACACATATATAAAGTATATATGGTATATATATGCATATTCCCAGAGCGGACGCTTGGCAATCATAATTGTTATGTTCGCATCGCTATTGAACTCTAATCCGTATCGCCTCATTTTATGGTTGGACTGGTCGAGAGTTTACTTATTACTATATGCGATCCGGCGTTGTTTATTATTTCGTGAACTCGCCGTTTGTTTGTTGGTTGGAAAATTCATGGCATCCGGAGGAGGCAATCAATTTGGTATTCGTTTTCAATTCGATTTGGTTTGCAGAATAACCACCCCGGGGAAAACACTAATGAACAAGGAATGAGATTTTGGGGAATTTCGATCTAAAAAGATTTATTTGTGTTAAAGTACCAGGAAATACTAAAGATTATCGTTGGTTCATTTAAAATAAGACAATACATTTCATTCAAAGGGATTTTATGTGAAGAATTTGTAAGATTTTATGTTATAGAGCTCAGAACATGTCGAGCTTAACCTCTTTGGCTATAAAAATACTTGTAGTCCGTGGGCTTAGCGATAAGCTGTCTGAATCTTGGTTGTAGAATCAAAGCAAATTCTTACAAATTCACCAGAGCAGCGCCTGCTCTCGGGGAAAATCAATGGAAATTCTAGCAAACACAGTCGTAAACATTTGCAAGTTCATTAGGTTCGCTGACTTTTATGGGTCGCATTGAATTTGCTTATCTGCAACGCCTACACTCGAATACGGGTATACTTGGTATTCAGACACTTTGATTCTTAGGTACTTAGATACTCAGATATTTAGATACTGAGATATTTAGATACTGAGACATTCAGATATTGAGATATTTAGATACTCGGATAATAAGTCAGATACTTAGATACTCTAATACTCAGCCAGTCGTATACTCAGCCTGTCGTATACTCAGTTATTTGGATACTCAGATACTCAGTTATTTAGATACTAAAATACCCAGAAACTTATTTACTCACATACTCAGAGTTATTCAAATACTTGGATACTCAGATATTCCAATACTCAGATATTCACATACCCAGATGTGTGGCGAGTACATTCAAAATTCTGTTAGTTTGCACGCCCTTTTCATTTTTTTTTTTTTTTTTTTTTTTTTTTGTGAGCTCGCAAGTTCTCTGTGCATTTTCTGTTGACTCTGCAAATTGAGGCCGAACCTACAGAACCTTCAACATGCACTGGCAGAAAAATAGGGGTAAATTAATAAATTATTCTTTCCACCAGCTTAACATTAAGTACCCCCAGTTGAAGCAAAGGCAAGTTTTTTGCTTTTTAGAAATTTATAAACAAAGTTACAGCTTTGTCTTTTTATTTTTAGAGTTCTCTCCTTTTATATAAAATTTTTTCCCTCAGTGCCTTATTTTTTAAAGGGCGCGCAGGCGTGGTGGAATCTGATCTCTTTGCATGCTCAATTAACTTTGTGAATTCTTACAGCGAATTTGAGTGGCTTAGGCTCTTTGCCTGAATTTATCGCTCTGCCAGAGCTGTCAGCCTGATGAGCGTCGACATGGCAGGCCGCCAACAGCAACAACCACTACTGGGGAGCCACTGCAGCAGCACCACCACCACAGCCACCTCAGCCACCTCTTCCTTCTCCCAAAAAAAAAACCAACTTAAATGCAACTACAACTGCTGTTCTGTCCAGGCGAATGCTCGTTAAATGTGCTCAAATTTGAAATTCAAATGCGTTTGCCTGTTGCTGCTGTTGTTAACATTTTCCACAAGTTAAATGCACTTAGAGAAAATTTTAACTATATATATATCATTTTTCTGCTTTTTAGAGCCTTTAAAAATATATTTTCAGCTTGAAGAATATATTAAAATATTGTTGATACAATCAAATAAAATTATAGAAAACTCACTATAAAATCTAGATAAATATAAGAAAAGTATCTGTAATTTTTTAAGTATATCTTTTTACTTAAAAAACCTTTAAAAAATATGTATTATTTGTTTTTAAAACTAAAAAATATATTTTTATAAATTGACTAACCTATGCTATTATTTTTTTCAGTGCCTTGACTGACTGCAATTGAAGTTGCAGTTGCAGTTTTGCAGTAGTTGGCGTTGTGTGGCTGCCTGCCTGCCTCATCTGCCAGTTGTCAGCGGAAGTGTTGATGAATTTATTTGTCAAAATCGCATTAGGCGACCCCAGGTAAGAATATATACATATATATAAAATATATTTAGAGCTATAGTAATGAAACCACCACCATTAACCGAGACATTAACATCAAAAGCACCACCACGAGATCGCCACCCGCACGCACGCAGTCGCATTGCTGTCACTTTTTCTCTTTCTTTGGCGCTGATTGACATTTAAATGCAAACTGTCAGTGGGGTCCATTTGTTTGTTTGCTTTTTCACGTTTTGTTTATTTATTTTGCATTGTTATCGAGAGACCACAATGCGCCTTAATTAATCACAGCTGCAGGCAGCAATGGGTTAAAGCTTGTGCGGAGTTACATACCTGCAACGAGTCAAAAGTGGGGGAAAAAATAATTAATTTGTAAATCGATAAGTGAGATAAAATATATATTTAAATATTTACAAAATTTAAGACAAATTATAAAAAGTATTAAATTATTACTGACTCAAAATATGTTTAAATAGTGATATTATCTTCCAAAACAACAAAGTTCGAACTATATTATATCAAAAAATCAAATATAATATAATTTTCGATATATATTTATTTATTTTTTTATTTTTAATATATCTAATTTATTACTATTTCTTGCAAACTCTGCCTGACCTAAATTATAATATTTTCCTTCCCAAAAGTCACAGAGGTAGCAGCCTCTCGTGATCTTAGACTTTGCTTGATATGTATCTCAGGGATGCAGCTCCACTTTCTGGATTTTTTTCCTTTTGGTGTCGCTGGCCAGCAGCTAATTTAAATTCAAATTTAAATTGTTTGCTGTCGCTTTTTTATTGGCAACAACAACAACAAGGAGCCAGCAGACACCGAAGGAAGAAAGAAAGCCAAGACAGGCTTAGGAAGCACTCAAAAAAGTGCTGAAGAATTGGCGGGAAAAAAGTCAGGAATATTAGGAGATTAAATAAAATAATAAGGAAATAAATAATATATATAAAAAATATATTACAAAATAAATATTAAATAAATCTTTCTTTATAGTTAAAGTTGATATATTTTTTTTTTTAAGTTTTTACTACTTAATAGAGCTCACTTTAGGCAAAAACGAACTGCCTGGAATGTGGCTATATCTATAGATAATACAGGTTGAAGGGCAACCAAGGCCTGACGATATCAAAGTTATAGGCTTGGATAAGATAAGAAAAAAAAAGGAGAATGGTTAGGTAAAAGTTGAGAAATAAAACTTAAGGAAAACTGAAAAATATAAATATATGAAATATTATAAAAAACATGTATATTTATATTTATTTTAAAAGATTTGATATATTTACTTTTTAGCTTTTCTTAAGTTTTTTTTTTATTTTGAAATATATATATTCTGTTTTTTTTTTGTGTCAACACTGATCGACGATCGCTGCGACGATCGAAGTTGCATGTTGCAGATGCACGCCCCGCGATTTGCCAGTTTGGAGTTTACCCTTTCCCCTTCTTTTTTTTTTTTGGGAAAAAGCCTTTAGAGCCTGGCGGCACCCACGCAGGCAGTTGCTGCTGTTGCGGCCCACGCAATCGATGGCAGCGCAAATAAATATTATTTATTTATAATATTGCATTGTTTTACCGCCCACTGAAAATGGGAAATGTCAGCCCAGGAGGGAACCGTCAATTAAGAGCGAAAAAAAAACCACGACGGGGGGGCGGTTGCTTATTAAGGAGATCTCTTGCAGGATATAATCCTTGTTATTGGTGGAAATTAATGCAGGGACTTTTGTGAAATTTAATTAAAATTGAATGAACTCTATTGCTTTATATTCTTAGGTTAAAAATTGGCCAGGAACCTTTTAAGTAAAGTCTAAGAATAAAAAGAATATACCTCTTCTTTTTAAGTTAAGTTTTTAAATAATAAGATTTTAATTTTTGATCTAGCTAGGGTTGTTGTAATTTTTTTTTGCAGAATTTTATAAATTTTTAAATTTTTTTCAAAAATATACAATTATAATCAAATAAATATAGATTTATCGGCCTTGTCTGTGTTTCCTATATAAACTTTACTTGCAAACCTAACACAAACTCCCCCTTCTTGGCTTGACTTGGCTTGGGCATTGCTTTTGCTCCTTTTGCCAGCCGGCGGGGAGGGAATTGTCGTCGTCATGCATTGCCATTTTTGGTATTTTCAGCCAATTAGCGGCGCAAAGGCTTCAAATGTTAAGTAAAAGCGAAACGAGCTCCTTAGCCTCTTTGTAAGCGACGACTGCCAACTGGCCGGGCAACTTGCATTTTTAATGGTGGCCTGCCACCACCAGGAGTCAGGCCGAAGGCAGCAGCAGAAGATGCTTAGCTGAAATCGCTTCTGTTTCTGTTTTTTATATTATTTTTTTATTTCTTTTGTATTTTTTTTCTTTTGTTAGAGATGACACAATACGCAACGTGACACGGAGAATTAAAAAGAAATTTTTTTTTTACAGGAAAAAGGGAATATTTTTGATGGGGTTATGACATTTTGATGTAATTTCAATTGATTTTAAGAGTTATATTATTATTATAATATATTTATTATATTATTATATATTTAGTATATTATTATATATTTAGTATATTATTATATATTTATTATATTATTTATATAAAAAAAAACCTTTAAAAATATTAATTGAAAATAAAATAACTATTAGTAGTATACAAAACCTTTAAAAATAATTTTAAAAAAGGTCTTATATTTTTTTATCAAATTTAAATCATTTTAAGCTCATTATTATAAATATATAATAATGATTGCAATTAATAATCGAGGCTTAAGCCAAAAATCAAACAATAAAATGATCTAAAGCGATACAGGAAAGGAAAATTTTGTATAGCTTTAAGATACAAATATATATATACCATATATTTATGATAAGGTAAAAGACTATCATAATAAATCATCGTAAAAGATAACCAGAGCCCTTTCTGATACGATAAAATAAGGGAGGTTATTTTTATTATTACAAGTATTTAACATTGGGGAATTGTCTATTTTCGTCTGATGAAATATCCGAGATATGCAGAATATTACTCATTTATGCAATGACTCAGTTTTTGTCCTGAAATCCAGTCATAATAATAATAATCTCATGTTTATGCCGCACCAACGATAAGATAGCAAAAATTGGAGCATAGAGATTGTGATCTGTGCACAAATTATAGCGAGAAATTTATATATGTGATAAATAATTTTATAAAAATATTATTAATCGAAGTCAAGCTACATATAAATGCCAAAAATACCCAAAAAATAAATATTTAGATAGAAAATCAAAACATTGATAAAAAAAACATCTTTAAAATATATTTTTTATGAGCTAAAAATATATTTAAACCCTTTTCTTTGAACCATAATTGGGCTTCACTTTTTAAAACATTTTATTTACTTAAAATTAGGTTTAAATTTACATACAAAGACCTAAAAATACCCATAAAAAAACCATTTAAACTACATTTAAAATTCTCTAAATTCCCCTTAATCCCTAAATAAATTACTATATATATTAAAATAAAAATTGATTTAAGCCAAGTTAGTATCACGCTGCCATCGCTGAGCTCGTTAGCGTTAAAACTCCGAAGCTCTCTTCCAATCAAATGAAATTTATGCGATTGGCGGCCTTAGAGATCGTCCTCCCTTTCGGTTCCTTGTGAGCTTTAATACCTCCTTCAACCTCCTCCCCCCTCTTTGCTCTTGGTCACCAAATAAGGTCACGCCCGTTTGCAGGACTTTTAATGAAGCCTTAAATGTCATTGATGAAATAACTTGGAGATCGAAGATCGGTGTATCGGTGCATCGGGGGCATTGATGCAATCCAAGGCGATCCGATTCGTTTGTGGCTGCCTGCTAATTAAAGACAACCATCTAAGGCTCGAAGGCAGCCCGGGTTCATCTCCCCCCCCTCAACCCCTCCTCCACCACCTCTGGCGATGTTCCCGCCCCTCGGGTAATTGGCCAGATTTTCCTTTGGGGCAAAACAGCGAAAGTGATGACAGGCCACGGGCGTAGAATTTGAACACAGAGATTAAATTTGTTTAACGAAAATAATTTAAAATTATTATATAATTCTTAATTTATAAGGGAATAAATTTAAAAAAAAAAATATATATATATTTTTTTTTGTAATTTTAATGTTTTTTTTTTAAGATTTTTTATATTTTATAATATATATAATATTATATAATATATATAATATTATATAATATATATAATATTATATAATATATATAATATTATATAATATATATATTAAAATTTAGAAATACATTTTCTATAAAATATTTCCCAATTTCTAGAATTTTTTCTTCAAGTGTAATTGCATTATGTGTGCAGAGTTTCGAGTGGTTTTCCATCCATCTCGGGGGTGGCTGTTGGCGAACACACACACAAAGTTGGCTAATTGGCTCAGTGGCCTGTGGCTAATGGATGTTGACGCTTCCGTATGTGTCACCCCTGCTTCACCCCCTTTTCCCCCTGGCTTGGGATTTTCCCCTCGATTGGCTACCAACAAAAAAGGGAAATTAAACAGTAGCCCCTGGTCAGTTGAGTTTCGATTTTCGTTGATTTTTCGCACAGCTGGCTAGGCAGCAGAACGCCCCAGAAAAAAATATATATATGTAGGAGGGGTAGAGGGGGCGTTACTCAAATCGAAATCCGATTAATTTTTGGACTTATCACGCCTGCCATCTAATGGCTATACCCTTTCCACTTTTTCAGTTTCTTTCGCGGCCTTGAACGCGCCTTCAAATTTTTGATGTTTTGGTTTTATTTCGAATTTGCCTTAAAACATGAAAGGAATGCGACTCGGTTGGCTGCAAAAATTAATAATAAAAAAAAAAAGATAAATAAAGGTGGGTTTAAGGCATACGAAGAAGATGAAAAGGGAATGCCAAAAAGGGAACAACGCCCAAGATATTAAAAGAATATAAAAATTATACAAAAAAATATACAAAAATCAAAAATCTGGAATTAGCCAGAGAAAACGATGGAGAAGAGATACAGATAAAGATTGGGAGAAAATCGTTGGAGAGAAAAATCTCTG